CCCCCCCCCCCCCCTTCATCACTTTTCTAATGGTCCGTCCCTTAGGGCGAGAGACCGAGCGCGAGGGAGGAGGAAGCAGGGAGGAGGGGAGGGTTCCTTTCCTTTCTCTTTCGGGCGCCCCACGCGCTCTCGCGTGCCAAATTCTCCCTTCCCCTTCCCCTTTTAACCTGTAAGGTCTCTAAGTGAAATTCACATATCCTAGTCAACGCTCTAAGATTCCCTCTCTGACCCCCCTTGCGCCGGGGGAGGGGGCGGAGGTACTTGTACTACCCCATTATAGTCTATTTTGTGGCCAATTATAGACCATATCTTAGTCACTTTTGAGTAAATATGTAGTTTTCGTGATCCCAACTTAGTCAGGGTGACACCAATTACTATAAGAAGTATTCTCCCCAGTGGCCCTGTAAAAACAAAATTGATAATAATAAATTACAACAGTCATGATAAAAAGCATATTCACAAATAGTAATTATAATAAAGGATCTTAAAAATTCTAAACAAGTATTCTCCTTCCCTAGTGGCCCCCTAAAAACAAAATTGATAACAATAAAATTACAGCAATCATGATAAAAAGCCTATTTACAAATAGGGATTATAATAAAAGGTTCTTACAAATTCTAGAGATTCAAAAAATTGAGAGATGTAAAAACGGAAGTAAATACATTGGTACAAAAGGGAATCCAATGTACAATGATATTAAAAAAAAAGCACGGAGTTTTAAAACCCAGAATAATTTTTTAACTTTAAAATTGTCCACCGTATAGTTTGAGGCGACGTTATTGGTCAGTATTGCCTTCATTAATCTAAAGGAGGTGGTTGGTTTTTGAGCATTTAGTTCTTTAATAGTGGAATAAAAGAATGTTCTCCCCATTGCTTCAGTTCTGGGTTTCGGTAAGCGGTATAATGTTTTTTTCTGGTAGAGTACTTGTGTTCAAACCAAAGTGAGTCCAAGGTTGTAATTGAGTATTCCGGTGCCCTCCCATCAGTAACTTTCTTTAAAAGGCCTAGTTTATTGATCTTGAATAGTTGATCAACCGGTAGCCACTTAAGCTTTTGAAAATTATCATACGATAGTGCATCCCGGGGACTATCCAAAATTAATCGAGCGCAGAGTTTTTGAAGTTTAAACAGTTCATCTAAGTTGGTTTGGCTACAGTTTCTCCAAACAGTACAGCAATAAGTAAAGAGCAGTTTGATACTTGCATTGTAAAGAAGCTATCGCTATTTGGTTACTTCTGAGCTCTTGCTAAAATTGCAATTCTTTGAAGTAGTTTTCGGCGCAGTGTGTCAATGTGTTCGTTCCAGGTGAGATGACTATCAATACATACTCCTAGGACACGTTCTGACTCAATCTTACTGAGTTGCATGCCGTCAACTGAGAGGTCAAGAGATTGTTTTGCTGAATTTGCAATTTTTGGTCTTGTCGAGATTATACTGTACTTTGCATAGACTGTTCACAGTCCTCTATTTTTTCATAAGATCATCGAGATCGAGCACTTTGCGTTACAGGCTGCCATCTTGCATGAATGTCAAAACTACTTAGAGCTATAATCCCCGACGCCCGCCACCTCGGGACATTTGAAAATCAAGAAAGCCGTGACGGTAAGACGCGGTATATCTAAACGATCTCACGAAAAAATAGGGGACTGTGAACAGTCTATACTTTCACTCACTACTAAATCATCACTATAAACTTTGCTGGATGCATTTTCATTTTCATTTTCTATTTATGTATCTACCTCATGCTGAATGAAGAACACTTTGATAAAAAATAAAACACAAACAGCGAGCGGTGATGAACATTGTGAGTTTTCGCATTTTTATACACTTGACTTTTCGTATGCTGTTCAAAATACATTTTCAAAAGTGATCTTACTTGGCCGTTAAAGAAAATGACGAGACTATATATTCAAATATTACAAGGGGTCTGGAAATGAGATTAAGAATTTAAAAATTCTTAATGAATACAAAAGGCAACAGCTAATAAAGCATCAGCTTTTCACTGCTGACGTTGACATTAAAAGCTGGCTTAAGGTCTTGTATGAACAATATTTATTTTATCTTACAATGATAATCTGTTTTGCCAGATGCTAAGATTTCACAATGTTTATCACCGCTGTTTTTTTTTAATTTTTGATCAAACTATACGATGGTCCAAGAACAAAAGTCTCGAAGAACACTTTACTTTTAAACTACAGTACAAACATTCTGGTACGTTTGCTATCCCTAAATATGAAGAACCGTCTTAACTCAAGAATCAGAACATGTGCGGCCCCATTCTAGTAACTCTATTGAAAATGCGATCCCATTATAGTCAATCCAGTCGTGAAAATGCGACCCCATCCAGTGGCACATGCCCATTAGCCTCTTATAAGGAAGTATCGCCCAGGGTGTTGTTGGCAGTGACTGACGTTTCGGCGACAACCTGTGCCGGGGAGTCATCTTCAGAGTCAAAGTGAGTTGTATCACGACTTTATTGACCAATCAGGCCAATAACGAGAGTTTAATACCACTTGTAACTGACGCTATACAACTCATTTTGACTCTGAAGATGACTACTGCACAAGTTCTCGAAACGTCAGTCACTGTCAGCAACAGTCCTGTTAAGGACTACGTTCACCCAGACGATCACGCTCAACCTACTCCAGAAATTACCCGTAGCTCAAACCTTTCACAGAATGTTTTTTTTTTCTCCTAGTTCAGGTTGCTGTACTTCTAAACATTTATGTTAGATCTCCATTTGAAAGGTATACACCGATATTAAACCACCCAATATTTTCTGACTGGCGACAATTTTAAAACCACGCTTTTCATAGAGTCTGATTGCAGAAGTCGCTGTGTTTGACGTATTTAACATAATCTTCTCCATTTCTTTTCTCTTTGCATATGCAGTAAGTTCAGTAAGTAGTTTTTTGCCAATCCCTATTTTTCTACAATGCGGAACGACATACATCATCTGTAATTCAGAAACTCCTGGATCCGGCTTAGGAGTGAGTCGGCACCATCCCCACAACTTTACTATTTAACTCTGCAACCCAAATTTGCCCTCCGTCAGACAAACTAAACTTTGTATTTAACCTGGATTTCTGCCAGCTTTTGAAAATGCTCAACCAGTAAATGATGGGGTATACGAATAATAAAAACGCAAGAAGAAAATATACTGCTAAAATCCAAGGTGACCATATGATTGCTGTGAATGAGGCAGGAACAGCTCCTACAGCAAAATACCATGTTACTATCCTCAGAAAAAACAAACACTTATCCTTTACACTCTCGTTGCTTCCATCTACGAATATTTTCTGACAAGCTTCTCTGTCATTTGGCTGGAAGAAGCGAATGGTTACAAAAGATGATATACGGCTGTGTTGCTTGGTACTTGAAAGGGCCATTTCACTCTAAAATGAAACAATTATATTACATCACGACTGGCGCAATATATTGACACGTTCAAAACTTTACGGTGAAACCACTTAACATTTTACATATACATCACGTAAAAAAGACAGCATAACAAACATCAACGGGTTAACAAAAAAAAACTATTTATAAGCCAGAATAATAAATTTTTCTGCCGTTTGTACGTCAAACTAGCTCAAAGTTCACAAAGACCTTTGTTACCACCGCTACGCACTTATTTCGTGCCTGCAGTGTAACCACGTGTTTTTGAAACCTGATTCCTTGTACGTTTGTCATTTTGGAAGTGTGCTTGTGGAACCTTAGTTAGTAGAGTGGAACTCAAAACAGTCGGTAAGTTTTTAGACTTGTGTTTCGGCCTTTTCCTTACGAACTTTTGAACATTGAACTTATTTTAGCATGTATTTTGATTCTAGAAAACCTAACTCGTCTTGCGTAGGATATAAAACAAATTTACGATGAAGAAGGTCCAAATACAAGTTCGAATAGGCTGATTTAGCAACAGAACGGGATCGCGCGGAAAGGACAAAACACGACTTCCGGTGCCCAATTTACGCATGCGCCAGGTTGAGCATTTCCGGTCTCTTTTTCAGTCACACGTTCCCGTCAGATCAAAGTCTCCCGAACGCTCTCGGCTTCATTCTGTGTGCAGCTTGTGGTTCAGTTGTTTTGCTTCATGCTGCTTGTCTTTTTGACTATTCTGTAGTTTTTGAAATTGCTTTTATGGATAACCAGGCACAGATCACTAAAACAATTAGTCGATTAGATTCAGAAAAGGTAAGATGATAATAACTCAGTTTGTAATTTTGGCTAGAGCGTCAGGCAAACTGATTTTCATTCACGAAAACAAAGTTTTTGACTGTTATTTTTCACTTAACCTGGCTGAAACTAAGACATAAAAGGTTATCATTGCAAGCTTGTGTATTGAGGTTCTAATTTTCAGTTCTTTATTTTCTCAGTCTTCATGTCTTAAAGCCGATTCGAGCTTTATTTGGAAAACGACAACACACGATCGCTTTGTAGTTTTATTTACCAGAGAGTTTTACCGTGTTTTGAAACAAAACTCTTCTTAGTTGATTGCCGTGATTGGCAGCAAGTTGACAACTCTATTACTTTTTTTTTTCATTCTCAGAATCAGGGAGTTAAAGCTGGTTCGATAGCCTTTTTTAGAAGTCGAACTTTTCATGCCATGTATTTAGCAGCTGGAAGTTTCGTGTTTGTATGAGATGCAGCCGAGCCGCACAGTCTGAAATTATTGAAGTCTTCAACGAAGGAACAACCATGTAAAAGAATTAAATAGGCATTTTCTTGAATGAAAGTCATTTATAGATATGTTTAGTTTCCCGGCACTGAAAACTCTGGTTGTTCGTGACTGCAGTTACAAATCCCGCCCATCTTTTGCTTTTGAGTTCTTGTTTTCTCTGATGATAAAAAAATGATTAAACGGGCTAAAATTTCATTTCCTGGTTTTAGTGTTAATGATAATGATGACGTCTTTATTTTGGTTTCTTAGTTGTCTTTGTTTTCTTAGTTGTCGCCTTCTCCCAAATTATATGCCAAACCAGTAGCATGCAAGAAAGCCAGTAAAAACAAATTCGTCTTGACGAGCGCTCGCGACCTCTAAACTTCAAACATCATTTTCACCGTTGGTGCAAACAGATAACCATGTGGTACAAAAGTTTGACGCTAGAAAAATATATAAGCTTTCGAATGAAGGGATTTTTTTCGCTCCCTCCTTTGTCTGTTTCCCCCTTTTTGCTTTTAAACTTGATGCGACGGCAATGTTATGCTTACGCAATTGGTTTATATACTAGACCGGAAATAAAAAGCCGACCGGATGTTAAATTTTGTGCTCATGCGCAGTGCGTTTTGCCGCGGTGTTGCCATTGGTTGGCCATTGGTCATTTGGTCATGCCAGTTATTTAATTTGCGCGCGCCGTTGTCAACTGACGTTCCCGTTCTGTTGCTAAATCAGCCTATTCGAACTCATATTTGGACCTACTTTATCGTGAATTTGTTTGCGCTTGACTTGATTGACTCGGCTCTGGATCTATTTGTCTTTTGAAACCTGGAATGTTTATGGAATAAAGATACAGTTTAACATACGCGGAGTTCGAGTTTTCGACTTTAGACCGCAACAAACTCTACCGTAATAAACTGCAATGTCTTTTTTTTCTTCCAATTTTTTAAACGTACGTATTAATAATAACTATAATAATAATAATAATAATAATAATAATAGTAATAATTAAATAATAATAATAATAATAATAATAATAAGTGACACTAAAATAGCACTAATTCCGTACAGTTCATTAGCGCTTTACTTTTTGGGAGAGCATTCCAGAGGATGGGTCAGTGCTGCAACTGAAAAAGGCTCTGAGACCATAACTTTTCAGGTGGTATTGCTCATGTTCTAAGTAGTTTTTGTGGTTTCAGTTGCTAAGCAAGTGAAATCCACTTTGTCATCGTGCCGTGTAAGTAATTCCGTGTGTCGTAGTTTTCGACCGTCTTCGCACGATTTGGTACATACAGTTTTCGGTGTTATATCAAAGCGTCGAAGATTTCCGTTTCGTTTTCGCTCTACTGACGAAATATTTGTCGTACTTTTCGACCATCATCTTCGCTCGATTTCGTACGTTTCTCGGTTTTGCATCGATTAAGACATCAAGGCCGAGTTCTTCAAAGCTGGGTTAAGATAACCCAGGGTTAGTGGGAGATTTGAATTCAGATTTGAGAGCTTAAAAAGCATTTCAGTTTTAATTCTTTTTGTCTAAAAGTTGATGATTGGAAGCTCTAAAAATATCTGAGAAAATTATCCGAGAAAAAGCTTTTGAACATAAGAAAAAGAAACCTCGGTTAAATTTAACGCCGGGTTAAGTGCCAATCAGTCTTCGAACAACCGGGTCCAGAACTACACTTGCGATGTGCTTTCTCGACGCTGCCGCGGAGGAAGATTTCTCATGGCCTAAAATGAACGGAACGGCAGCGGCTATCTCGTATTTCCAAAACAAACATGGCGATTACATTTGTAACGAAATGTGTGAGGTAAAATCTAATATTTGAGCTTATGATAACTTCTAGCGTACCTGTATAAGTTTCCAAGTTGGAATCGATCAGGTGAAAACATCCTCAATTCCACTGTACAAAATGCATATCTTTACCGGTTCGCAAACACCGCGCCTTTCTCTCGGTCTTATAGCCCCTCCACTTTCTGTGGGAAGTTGTTGAGGCAGCAGTCCTCCGCCGCAGCTGGTTCAGCTGGGCAAGTTTCTTTTCAAGTGGTCGATTTTTCCAAGTTCATTCCTTAAACTTGGTGTTCAAGACGCAAGTAATTCCCTCTTGCATGGGTTTTTCGACGCACAACTGTTAGCTCCGTTTTGGGAGCTAATACTTTTAAGCTTAAGCTTTTTTATAGTTCGGATAATTCACAAGTTAAACAAACGTCTTTGGTTCAGAAAGTAAAACGGTTGAAAATATTTCACTCCTTCGCGCCGAGTATTTTCGCTCCTAGGTGTTTTTTCCAGCCTCTGTTCTGACAGTATTCTGTGTAAACTGTCACTCAGCTCTGTTCTAGTTCATCTACCAGATATTTGAATGTAATAGAAGTTGTAGTATAACGTATTGTTATTTCCGCAATGCTTGGCCGAAACAGCCAAAATAAACCTAATGGTTTTTTCGATTCATGTTGTACTGCTAGTGGAGCCGAAATTATATTTCTGCGAAAACCAGAACCACATTGTAATATTTTGTCTACATTTTGTTTGCAACGAGCAGTTAGATAACCAACTACAAACATTTTGTCTACTTTCGTTTACAGGGAAAAGACCTTAAGGTTGATTATGGTAAAGGAGGAAAACAAACTGCTAAGACTGGTGAAATTCTTCCCTGAGTAGTCAATCGATAATAATTCGGTAAATCTGATTTGATTGATATCGATTGTATCGATCAATTGGTAGAAATCGATGACACACTCATTTCGTTCATCGGTTTATCTTAATTTTTACCGATTTCATCGATTTATATCGGAAGATCATCTGCTTATTAAAAAAAATGAAAACTGAATTCATGCAAACAGTAAATGTATTGACAATTGAGTCGCAATTGAGAGTCGAAGGATCAAACAATTATCACTTTTTCAAAAGATCTTTAAAAGATTTCTTTTTCTTTAAAACCAGGTTTAAAATCTTCTGATGGCTTATATTGGCCAGGTGTGTAAGCGCCTAGGTTTAGTTTATCAATTTTCACCGATTTCCGTTATCAATCGATAAAAATCACTTGGTTTCTACCGATTTTTATCATTGATTACACCGGGAATCACGCTTATTATTGTGTTACAATAACTAAACTGTTATATCATACGTTCAACAAGAATGAAAAATAACTATTAGATTTGTTAGCCTAGTTTGTAATAAAACCTTGTTTTCAGAATTAGATCAAGAAATACTTAAATATTGTTCCTTTTGCCACAATTAGTCGTCACTTAGTCTCTTTTTCTCTGTCATATGCAACCTTGTCACAAATTATAATTGTAATTATCTTGTTAAATAAAACTACTACGTGACTCGACTGTTTATTCTCTCTTCTGACTTCTCTTTTTAACTGGTCCTCGTAACAATACAACATAGCTAAACCCTTTGTTGCTCTCTGTCGCCTGCGTAGCAGGCCTCGAGATAGAGGGAATTCGCCTTTCACTCCCATCCCCCACCCTCTACCCGTTTTTCACATGTCACGCAGATTACGTTCCGTGACACTTCCAGACTTTCAGCGTAAAGAATGGTCCATCGAAACTGACGGATCTCGAAAAAAGAACCCAATCTCCGCATTCCGACTAAAACTCAGCATTTGGTCCTCGCGACATTTTATGAAACGTCTATATCAACACCCTAAACTACGTTACAAAGACTGAAACCACATCCACTCCCTCGAGTGGCTATGTTTTGAGTTTGATCTCAGACTGCGGTTAGGTGTATAA